TGCCTTTTGAGATTTGATTTCTTGGATTTTTTTTCTTGAATAGTTTTCGGTGTTCTATGGATTTCGCAACCGTTTCCCCATGGCATGTAAGGGCCAGCTAAACGACAATTTTACTATTATTACAAAACGACATGTCATACAAGAATTATCCTCTCCTTCTAACAGAAAGGGTTCGTGTATATATATATAGCCTGAAATAACTAAAATAGAGACAACATAGTATCAGAATTCAAAAAAGCAAACCACCATGGCGGCTGCTCCTGCTGCTGCCGCCCTCTCTCAATGCAGTTTCTTACCCTCCATAACTTGTATGAAACCAAATCCCAAACGCAAACCCATTAATCCCCTTCTCTTCCCCAACTCTTACCAACCCATTTCTTTCTCCACCACAAATCCCAGGTCACGCTCTCTCATGAAGTCTCTCTTTAAAGTTTCAAACTTTAGTACTAGTGAACACTAAAGATCAAGTCCTTAACTTTTAGTTGTTTTTCTTTTCCTTTCCTTTCCTTTTTTTGGGCAGGTTGAGAATCTCTCATACAGAAGCAATATTACCAAAACGGTCCCGTAGGCTATTTGTGGTTTCTGGGTTGGTGGATGGCAATTCCGAGACATACCCCGAAGTAGAATCAAATGATTTGAATGAGGTATGTGGTTTTTGGTAATGTTAGTGTTGGTTGCTTTTAGTTTTGATAGATTTGTGTTTGAAGTTAAGAGCAATATTTGGGTTTTTACTGTTGGTGAATAATTGTGGTCTTAATGATGCATTACCCGTTTTCTGTTTCCCAGTTTTCCTTGTTTTTTATTATATGTGTTTGCATGTGAAGAGGGAATCAATTTTACTAATAAGTAATTTGCATTAGTTTGATGCTTTGACCAAAAAAAAAGAGAAAACAGAAAATTCTTAGTTGTTTTATTTTCATGCATGTTCTTTTAGGAGAGTGCAACCATTGACATAAAGCTGCCAAGGAGGAGTTTGCTTGTGCAATTTACTTGTAATGAGTGTGGCGAGAGGTCCCAGAGGCTTATAAATCGTTTAGCCTATGAACGGGGACTTGTTTTTGTGCAGGTACTCATCTGTTCTTCTTGACTGCTAGAATGACAATTCTTTTGTAATATGTTTCTTACCAGTAAGTATTTAATGTTTATCATGTGGTGTACTGTACTTTTGACTTAAAAAATAACAACAAAAATAAAAGAGTATTCTGATTTTTCTTTTTTCTTGGAAAAGTATAATCTAAAACTTCTGATACAAGCCTTTTATGCTTTATCTTCAAAGTGGATGCTCCATAGAGAAATGATATGAATTAGAGTAGGAAAATAGAGGGCCTTAAAAGGAATATGAAGCACTCAAGAAAATTAAAATTCCATTGCCTTTTTGTAAGGAAATGTTGTCAATTTTATTAGTGATCAACATGTTTTCAAAAATATTTCTCAGTAGAAATTAACCTGATACCATGAGACATTATTCTTATATAATAGCATGCTGCATGAAAAGGGGCTGTTAAAGCGCTGGTTTTTCTCTGGTTGTTTTTCAACTGTCGGAATAGATTGGTGCATTCCCTGGGAGCTTATTTAGCATTTTGCATGAGGTTGTTTCCTGAATAACCATATTTATTTGTTCATGGGAATGAACATGGTTATTCATATTGGTTCATTTCTGCCTAGGGAATTGTTTCATGAATGTTATTTTCTTCTTATTCATTTTTGGGGAAGCTTGCAGAACCTTAGTTTTCCCTTAGAAAATTATAGATAGTTTTCAAGGAAGAACAGTTTCTGATACAAAACAATGCATCTGAAGTAGATTGGTTTTTTGTTTTTATATTGATGTGTTATATATGCCACCACCTGTGTCCAGAATTTTGTCCATGGATATTTTCAAATGCTCCCCATATTATGCCTCAGGTGTCCAATCTTACAGATGGTTTTTATTTTATTTTTTCCTGAAACATTATCATTATCTTTTCACTGCACTAACTCATTAATTCACCACTTACAACGGTTATCTCATTTAGGGTTGGGTTATTATGAACGCTTAAAAACACCAAGCTTCTTTTGCACATCATGCTGCTAGCAAGAGCATATGGCAAACTTGAGCTTGCTGCTACTGCTTATATGCAATGAGTAGTTGAAATTCATGCTGGATTGTTGTTTGTCTGGTTATGTAGTACAATTTGAAATATATTGCTCATGGCCAAGATATTCATTTACAGATACAAATCCATATGTAATCGAAAATAAAGACTAGCAAGATAATTTATAAGTATTTCCTGTTTGTAAAGTTTGTTGAATCTTATGTCTTAAAAAAAACATTGTCGACTGGGCATGTTAATTTGGGATGAAGTAGTGAATTTTTCTGCTTTGCCTTCTAGTTTAAATAAAAACTTCAGTGCTTATCTTACCAGCAGTTAGTGCTTCTTGTAGTGTGCAGGGTGTGAGAGGTATCACAAGTTAGCTGATAATCTTGGTCTTATAGTTGAGTATGACTTGCGGGAGGAAATCAGTGCAGAATCAAATGCAGATCAAGTTTGATAAGAAACAATGAATCAATTTTCTATTCTGTTTCTTCTTTTGAATAGTTTTGTTCATGGTTGTAAGATTCGTCTTTATTATATACTTCGAGGGACTGAAAATGTACAAAAATGTTGACAATTTCTTGGCTTGCCTTTTACATTATAATTCCTATAATATGAATTCCATACCAATCTTATTTTGTACATATAAAATAATCTCTTTTCATTATAAAAATAATTTCATGGCTTGGTAAGGTTTCTAGAAACTGTAGCCTGTAACAACCAGCAGAGAGGCAAATGTTAATACTGTCCCTGCCCACATTCTTGCCCTTCCTTCCTGGTGATACAATGTATTTCCTCCATTCTGCACGTTAGAAAAAGCAGGGTACATTCTTTAGAACAATTTGACACTCATTACAATCTTTTCTGAAATGGAAATATTAATGCATTCAGTTAATGGTTTAGAGTAAATAAATTTAATTGTTTAAAAACGTACTGGGTTTGGGGATGGTGCCGGAGCTGTGTCCTCAGATGCTGTTGTCACTGTAGGTGGGGCTGGGGGGCTGGGGGGGTTTGGTGCAGGAGCTGGTGCATGATGATGGTGCTTGTGCTTGTGTTTTCTCTTCTTCTTGTGTTTTCCAGGAGCTGGTGCTGGGGAAGGCACTAATGATGGTGAGGGGGCTGGTGGTGGAATAGCTGGTGCTGGCACAGGTGCTGGTGGTGGTGTTGCTGGTGCAGGTGCAGGTACTTCCTTAGCTGGTGATGGTGCTGGTGGTGGTGTTGCTGGAGCTGGTGACACTTGTGGTGGTGGTAAAGAAGGTGGTGGTGTAGCTGGTGGTGGTGGCAGTGCTGGTGGTGGTATTGGAGTGGCAGCTGGAGAACTTTGTGGTGGTGGAACTACTGGGGTGGTAGCTGGTGCGACTTTAGGGGATGGTGATGATATAGGAGTGGTTGCAGGTGGGGGTGTCACTGCACTTGCTGGTGATTGTGTTGGAGTGGTTGGTGTGGTTGTGGGTGGAGGTGTGGTGGTTGTAGGTGTTGATGGCGACGCAGCCGGTGTTTGGGCATCAGTAATAGCTAGTGGGAAACTCAGACAAGCCAAGATGAGAGCCCAGAGCACCGAAGCCATTTAGTTGTGATGAGAACTAACAGGAAGACGTAACATTGTTATATAGAGTTATGGAAAGGCTTTTAAATTTAGTAAATGTTTGGTGGAATGTTAAGAGGGAGAGATGTTGTCTTCATTTGAATGCTACATCCCTTCTAATGATCTGGAGTGATGTCGTATTCAGACAGCTCTGCAATCGGCTGGTCCTATCAACCAAGATTTGGGACCTAAAATTGAGAAATCTTGCTGAAGAAAAAAGATGTACTGCTTTAAGTTTTAGCTATATTGATACAGTTATTTGTGTTGATAGGATTGTCAATGGTTGTGCTGTATTTGATTTTTTGCTATGCATTTTCAACTCATTTAGAACCGAGCACGAAGAGTGAAGGCTCTGGAGTTTCTTTTTCCTTCAAGGTGGGATGTCGTAATTAAGCAATATGCGTTTGCTTTTTACTAGAACCTTGAAACTAACAGAAACTTGAATCACGAGTTTATATTTTATGATCAAAATTTCCGCAATCATCGAAATGTTGTGGCAAATATGGCAAAATGGCTGGACAAGTGATTGAGTGAAATGAGAGGGAGGCAATCCGGGCTAACCTTCCACCAACTTAGCATAGACCACGATGTCGATCCTAACACAACCTAAACATTGGTAAGCAATCCCTGTCCGATTTAAGGAAAGAAAGGTCAGGTTCCCTTTTCTGGTTTCTTTTCTTTTTCTTTTTCCTTTTCTTTTTTTGTTGGTGCTTAATATTGTAATACATGGTATTTTTAAAAAATATTTCTAACTTGAAAATATAATAAAATTATTTTTTTCAGATTTTTATTTTTAATATCATCAAAACCATCAGAAAATAAATAATTAAAATCAATTTAATATTTTTTAAAACTAAATACATCCAAGCACAATTTCAAATACAAAAACAAATTTTGCCTCCTCAGTTAAGGACAATAGCTAGTTCACGGCAACAAATGTTGCTGACAATCTCTTAAGTCTCAAGGCATTGCATATGGAGCACTCTCCTATCGAATTTGGAAAGTCGTAATTAAATGCATAATGCCCAATGCAGGAGCTGACAATTGTCATACTTGTCATACCCACAAGTTCAGGCTTGAGACCATCTGCTGCATAATGCAAAATTTCTGCAGTTACAATTACAGATAATAACTCCATAGGGTTTACACTTTACAGTGGTTTGCCACAGCTGATCTATGACAACTGGTACCGCAGGCCCACATGGAATCAAGATATCTGGGCCCTGACTGATATCTGTGAATATTTTCAATGATTTGATTATCTCTCAATGTTAATAAAAGGTTTTATTATCAAGTCATTTTTCACCTTTAGGCGTGGCGATTTGAAGTTTGTGGATTTCATATTCTCATAAAGACACCAAATATATATTCAATTGGATTGAAAGATAATACAGTTTCCAGAAGGTTTTTTATTACCTTAGTTGATGGTGTTCTACCATCTCTTACAAACAGAACATGGCATGGAAGATATCTTGCATCTTACCGAGGATTTTAGATTGAGGGTTTGTTATGGGAAGACATGAAGGTTGAGGAGGGGAATCTTCTTTCTTCTCCTTTTTCCTTCTCCTAAGCTGGAAAAATTGCTGCATTACACCTGCACACTCCAATTCCAATATTCCTCGCCGGATTGTCATCTTTGGATGGAAAGGATGGACTGGAGCGGCTGGCTTATCTGCCAGTTCTGAGCCATTTCCATCTCGTCCATCAGGAAAAAGCCTGCAAGTATTGTCACAAATGAAACTTTTGGGAATCACAAGCCTCGGAAATTTCTGTTATGAGTCGGCTGAATGCCTGATCAACTTGAATCTAACTAGTGTGAATGGTGGTTTGTTCTATCCTCTACCCCCCCAATACCAATTCTAGCAGGGATTGTATACTTTGTGGTGACCAGCAGCCATTTCAGCTAAAATAAGATAATGGCTATGGAAACTTATCATTTTCTTCCCAATAAAAAAAACATGCAACTGTAATAAGAAATAAATGACTGATTTAATAAATGAGCTCTATTAATTATGTTTTGATCCGCAGATGCATTACTATGAACATTGATGACAGAAACAGGATAGGGGAACAATTCAAAAGGAAGAAAATGTGCCAAGTGTATCTAAGTCTAATCATATTGTAATGGCAAGACAATGTTAACCCTTTCCCATTGGGACATAATTTATGGTCAGATCACTTTAATAACCATTAACCAGTCTCAGCAAGGATGGACCAAATAAGGCCTTTCTGTTTTGAAACGAATTTGGCACTCATAATTTTTATCAAGTAAAACACTTTAAGAACAAGGCTTTGATTCTTCATAAATAATAGTCAGATGTACAAAAGACCAGTCTCCCATTTCAATGAGATTTCAAGGAAGATGAGCTTACATAATCCAGCTTCCATCAGCTCCAAGAAGCTTATTGGGAGCTCCCCATACAAGAGTATTTATTCTTGCTTGAAGTATTGCTCCAGCACACATAGGACATGGTTCAAGTGTAACATAAAGAGCAGTCTCCTGCAAATCAAATCATCAAATCATTAAGCCCTCGCTGTGAGTATCAGCAGAGTTAGAACAGTTCCTTGAAAAGTGATTTCCACTTTGAAAGTCAGCTTTTATTTGATAAGATATAATTTTCTTTGTATCTTTTCCTTTCGTATGTAAAACATAGTCAATGAAGAGTTTAGAGTGAATGCATTAATTAATAATTATGGTTTCTTTATAACATTGATTATTTCAAAAGAATTGACGGAGTAAATAAAAGCTTTCAAAACACAGAGAAAGTACCGAAAGCCTCCATGACCGGAGTTGATTTGATGCCTCCCTAATGCAAATCATTTCTGCATGGGCGGTGGAGTCTCGTAACTCCTCCACGCTGAAATATAAATCTCCACATAAAATCCCAAAATAAAGAAGCACAGTATAAGGTTTTATTCACAAGTGAATACAACTTACAGGTTGTAGCCACGAGCAATAATCTTCCCATGATGCACCATCACGGCCCCAACAGGCACCTCCCAAGAATTGGCAGCCTTCTTGGCGTCTTGCAGGGCTTCCCTCATAAACATTTCATCAATTTTCCGCTGCTCACTTTCACATAAATAAGCCTCTTCCCATTCATTGAATATGTCTCTCCCAACTTGCTCATTTCGTTGAAGCTTCCTTTGTTTCAACTCCACACCCTTCCCCTCAGAGCCTACTACTTCAATTAACTTTTCACTATCAGGTCGCTCCATAAGCTCCATTGAGCCACTAACAGAAATATTATTTTTAGCAGTACCAAAACTTTCTTCCACAATGGGACCACTTATGCTAGAAGGTGGCAATAAAACCAGTGATGATTCCCCTACTTCCATGCTAGATGTAGCAACTTGAGAATTGTTCCTATCTTGACTACAACCAAGGTTTTCCTCTTCAGAAGGTAAGGAAATACCTTTTGACGTGGACCCAATTTTTAATGTAATTGAAGGAGATGAAGTGTCTCCTTCAAGTGGTCTTATTACTTTCTTTGATCCAAATGTGCCAGATGCTTTTACCACATCTGGACTAGAAGTCTCTGTTAGTTGCAGCTGGTGAGAAGAGGCAGCTTCCCTAGGCATACTTTTTCTTTCCCTTTCCATATTCTTATCACTGTTTTCATCAGGTTCATGGCCAAAAAACCATGCTTCACTAGTAACAGAATCATTTGACACACTCTTTCCACCTGATCTTCGAGTTGATTTAGGGGTTTCAGCATGTGAACCCCAGCGCAGTCGTACTATATTTGAGATGATATTCCACATGGACCTTCCAGTTCTCCTAACAACAATACTCTTGATTGCTGTGCTAGCTGCTGGTGCTTCTGTCTCTGGAGGTTCCTGAACAGATGGGTTTGTTACATTCCACAATTCATCTGAAGGACCCTTCTCTCCAGAGTCCCCAGATGTCTGCATTGAGTCCTGCCTCTTCAACTGTAAGTCTTTAGTATCATATTGACTTGAACTCTTTTGCCTCTGCTTCTCAACTTCATATGCCAACTTTGTATCAGAAACTGTCTTCTCCTTTTGGATTTCAGAAGTTAACACTTCATGCCTAGCTTTCTCGACAAACTCTCGAACAAACTGCATTGATGACGCCTCTAAACGATGAGCTGAACCAAGAGCATCTTCAGTTAAGGTCAGATTTGAAGCCTCCCCATATATCTTATCTTTCTTATTTCCGCGATATTTTTCCTCTTGGAAAACTGCAGTTCTCCCTCCAGAATTTCTATGCAGAGTACTAGAGCCACTTTCTAAAGATTCTCTGGAATCCTCTTGAATTGCGATACAACCAGATGGATTCATATGAAATGAACCTCGATCTAACAACTGAGGTGAGGGAGGCATTGTTATTGTCTGTGATGTTCTTTCATTCCCCTCCCCCACATCAACCTGTTGAATTCCAACTTGGGAAACTGTATTTGCAGATGCTTGAGAATCAAAGGCCTCCTGTGAAGTTGTTTCATGAAGCCTTGATTTGTTAGTTGCCCTACAAACCTCACTTGAAGATTTGAACTGAGTGACATTTTGCTCAATTTTATCATCTCTCCCCCTTGTCTTGCAAATGGCTTTCGCAGCTGATGTCAATTCATTTTCCTGATCAAAAACTCTCTTTCCAGAAGTTCTGCCAAAAATGGTGACCATTGTCATATCACTTGCATGGACCATTGACACATTGGTGACATCCAGAGATATATTTGTAACATCTCCAGATACATTGCTGGATTCAGTTCCCTGAAGAGCTTTTTGATCTGTGTGCGACTGGTGCTCTTTTGCTTCGGTACCTGATCTAGAAACAACACTTTTACTTACCTCCTGCTGCTTCATTCTAGTTTCTGATTGTAGAATCGAAGTCTTTTTGTTACTACTGTCATGAACTTCTGATATTTTAGATAACTGTTGTGAACTTCTTCTTGACTGAACTTGTCCACTTGTCTGCCTACCCATTTGGAATTGTTGCTCATTTGTCTCATAAAATGATCCTAGAGCTCTATCTTCTACCAGAAGCTTCATTCTAGACTCAGATTGCCTCTGCAAATTTGAAACTCTTTCAGTACTGGCATTCTCAGTCGTTGATGTGTCAATGAGTTGGTGAGTGGCTCTTATTATATTGTTTTTTGCAGCAGTTTCACCAACTCTTTTATAAAGTTCATCCCTTCCTTCCCAAACCAAATTTGCATCCACTAGATTTTCTTCTCTACCACTGAACTGCTTTTGGGATTGGGAAGCTTTTTCAACACTTCTTCCACTGCTCTCCTGTTTATTGGTAATTTCCTGGTAACTTCTTCTGAATTCAGATTGCTCTTTGACTTGACCCCCCATCTGACAATATTGCTTTCCTGTTTCTTTCTCCAAATTAACCGCCAAACTTTTCTCATCCTCATTGCCAATCTGGTTATGAGAACTTGATACTTCCTGTATTCACTTTCATGGTTTCTCGCCATTCTTGATTGCATTTGTGAGGATTCTCTTTCTGATTGTGCTTCTTCAATCTCAGTAAGTTTCTTCTCAGATTTCTTCCTCGGATCCCACTCAACACCGGTCCTTCTTGCACTAGTTCTCACCTCCAGAACCTCCCCCTTCCACTCTGTGCCATCTCTATGCCTCCCAAACTCTTCCACAACTTGCCCCTCTGATCTACCCTCTCCACTTCTTAATTCCTTCCTGTATCCAATTGATGATTCTTTGAGACAATCAACATATTCATCCTGAGACTCCGTGTCTCTCTCAAAATCTCCTGCAGAAGAAAGTGAACAATATGACGAAAAACTAGAGCTCACTATCCTTCCCCTGTGATTCTCCCCTTTTGAAACCGCTTTCTTTTCTTCCTTTTCTTTCTGGTCTTCCAGCTCTTCCTTCCTTGTAAACTCTTCCTTCCTCAACTCAACTTTAGCTGACTCAAATTCACATTTTGCATCACTCTCCAATGAACTGAGCCCAACATTCTTCTTCCTCCTCCTCCCCTTGCGAGTTCCACCACTGTGATTCCCCCTCTTCACCATTTCCACTCTCTTCGACAAACCCCAATTTCTCTCCCCGTCACCTAAACACTGTCCACTCACTTCCTCGCTCAACAAACTAATCACAGTCTCTGCATCATTAACCCCACTAAAACATCGCCTTCCGCGCAATCTTACCCCTCCAATCCCTCCCTTCCTTCTCCTGAGAATTTTCTCACTCCCATTATTCTCCTTAAAAGAACAATCATGATCACCACCATAATCCGGGACGCGGTAATAATCCCTACCCATCCCATCCAAGATCAACCTTCTAGAAGCTGAACATTGAATAAGACTACCTTGCCTCAACCCAGAAAACAAACCTGGGTTTATTGGCACTCTATGTAAAGTAGCAGTAGTAGTGAATGATGACGATGCACAACAAGAACCACATGATGAAGAAAAAGATTGTAATAAAAATGGGTTTCCTTCATTTAATGAGTTAGAGTATTCATTAAAAGAAAATGAAAGTGGGCCCTTTCGTTCCAAGAGACAAAGAAGCTAAACTACTGTAAGTGTCGTGCATCTTTTCTTTTCCAATGTCATAGAGAGAGGCTTACCTTAATGGATTTTGTGGAGTTTTTTAAGCTGAAACTGGGAGTGAAACCATGTGAGGTGTTCTGTTTTGGAACTGGTTTCATGATTTCTACTTTCGGTTGAGAGAGAGCTAGTGGTTTTGAATCGGATGAGTTGACTCTCTCTGGTTTGGCTTAACTCGGTCGCCTATAAAAAGTGAAACAAACTGGGCTGCTGGCCTTTCATGTGGTTGCACTTAGCCGAGCACTATTGGGCTTTCAATGTAATACTAATTGGGCTCTGATCTGGAATTGTCTTCTTAAGAAGTCCAGTCCATCCAACCCAGTATAAAGACTGAGTTTCTGTGCTTTTACTTGCCGAATTAAATTCCTTTTTATTAAATACTAGATTATCTGCCTTATATTGTGAGTTAAATTAAATTTTTTAATATAAAAAAATATTTAATTATTATCAATATTGTTCTAGTATAAAAAAATTAATTGCATGGAGATGAATTCAATATATCCTGATCGACTTGATGAATCCAAAAGCAACCGAGACAATCTAAAAATATAGTTTAAGTCACAAAAAATTTTAAAAATATTTATAAAAAAATAATATTTAAATGAAAATATATTAGATCGATCTGAGTCAACTCAATTTAATCTCATATAAAGCAAATCAAAATAAATTGTGAAACACAATTCTCAATCAATTCAATGTTAAAGAATGAAATTGAAAAACAATAATAAAAAAATACTTGAGTTTGCCTGTCAACTTGTAACCCATGTCATGAGATTAAGATAACCTCGTAAAAAATAAATAAAAAAATGATATAAGTCAATTTAGATTAACATGTCAAACCCGCGACTAAAGTTATAAAACTCAAATAACTCTGTAAAAAGTAAATAAAAAAAAATTATGAATTTTAATTTTCAATAGATCCAATATTAAAGGTTGAAAATAAAAATAAAAAACATAACACGATAAAACAACATAAGTCTACAAAGGATAGCCCACAAAACACATGACTTGAATCACAAGACCAAGATAATTTTATAGAAAGTAAACCAAAATAAAGCATGAATCCTAGTTTATAATCAACATAATGCTAAAAGATAAAATAGAAAAAAAATCAAGGAAAAAAAATTATAAAAACTTGAATTAATTGGATTAATTCGTCAAACTCATAACTCAAGCCATGAGACCGATATAACCTTGTAGAAAATAAATCAAGATAAATTATAAAGTCTAATATACAATCAACTCAATGCTAAATAATTAAATTGAAAAAAAATATCAATTAAAAAAAAATTGAGTCAACCCATCAAACCAGAGACACAGGTCATGAGATCAAGCTAACAACGTATAAAACAAATCAAGATAAATTATGAAGCATAATCTTTAATAAATTAAATATTAAAATATAAAATTAGAAAAAAATAAATTTAGAAAGAAAGAATATTAAAATGAATATTATTTTATAATATAGTGTACAATACACAATCTCTTTTAATTTATACTATAAATAATGTTATATAAGTTGGAAAAAGTTTATAATACTCCAGGATTAACTAACGATGGCTACACTATCAATCCTCCTTAAAAATACAGGCAAGTAAATAAACAAAAGAGATATATTTATTAAAAAAATATTTATTAAAATATTTTGTTAAATTTTAATTGGAGATGATAATGTCAAAAGAAACTCACCAATGAAATGAATCAACATCCAATTATGAAAAGTATGCTGCTTGCAAAATAAATTACAAGATTGTGTACTCTTGTTATTTTAACTGTACATGGGATTTAGATAACAATATCATTAAGAGGAGCTCAACCCTTTTTCATGACTAGATAATAAAGAATAGAGATAATAAAAATAATAATTTTGATAATTTATCGCTGTAGATTAATATTATACATGTGTTATGAGAGTATACTCAATGACATTTTCTCTTTCTTTTAAGATAAAAACATAAAATCCCAATGGCTTGAAATTAGCAAGGTGCCAATGATCTTCGCTATGATTTTTCAAAAAAGAATCTGGCTTGTTTGTTTTTGAAACAATTTAAAAGAATTTTATTTTTTATTTTAAATTAATATATTTTTAATATTTTTAAATTATTTTAATATACTGATATTAAAAATAATTTTTAAAAAATAACCTACTTTTAAATTCTACCAATGAAATTGATTTTTCAAAAAATATAGTCCTGTACAGTAGTGGCAATCTAGATATAAATTAAATTTAATCGATTGATTATTCATCACTGGATACCTAATTTCTCTGTGCCTAATAAAAAGTCAGCAATTCTGTTTGATAACTTCAAATCCAGCGTGATGCCCGTGGAAAAAGCCATGCATGGTGGCTATGGCTAACAAGCACCTTCGACGTAGATTCTCTCTTGAATCCCAATTCAGAGCACTCACAATTGACATAATTCATTAATTATTATTCATTTGTCCGTGGAAACGCAATTGACGTTGCCAAAAAAGACTCTGTTTATCATCTGTTAAGTAAGATGATCAGCTAGCGGCAACCCTTTATTCTGGTGATTATGTTTCGATTTTGTAGATTGATTGAACTCTTGACTTGGACAAAAGTTATGAATATATTTGGTTATAAACAATGTTTAGCTTATCTTAAAAATCATTATAAAATTAAATTAAAACTCTACTTTAATAAAAATTAAATTATTAGTTCTCAATCTTAACTTGTACTATTTTTCTTTAGCCAAACAGACGTTTCGAGTCAAAAAGATTCATCAACCTTGTTTATAACTTGATTATTTATAAGTTATTCATAAAAAATAAATTATTTCAATAAACAATATTAATTCGTGATTAGAATAGTAACAATTGAAAAAAATATGAGGCTAAAAACCTCAATAAACCTAAATGATGAAACTCCTGTTAATGGCAGTGTGCACTTGTCGGAACTTGGCTGTGTTGCGCATAAAATATTGGATTTAAACATCTCTAGATTGAGAGCTCATTCTTCTTTTTCCGCACGGTCCTCTTCATTAATTAAGGCACATCTTAATGTATCAGCTGGTCTTTTATATTGGTCAAAAGAAGATTAGTAAGCTCCTATAATTAATGAAGCCCTGGCATAAACAACATGTATTTCTTTTTAAGCACAAAGACATGAATTTCACGTGGCACAAATAGTTTTACTACACATCAGTCAACATGCTTTGTTTTCTTGAGAAATCAAAAGACAGACTCGAACCTGTATGCATGCATGCATGTATGTATGTATGGGTGAGTGACAACAACATTATTAATGATAGTATAAATTAAGTAGATATACTATTTGAATATGTATGGGTGAGTAACAACAACATTATTAATGAAAGTATAAATTAAGTAGATATACTATTTGAATGATAAAATCAATTAATCCAAGGATAAGGGGGTTACAATGGCTTGAACTCTCAGGCGTTGACGCGCTCGTATGAATGATTGAGTATAGGTCCTCAAAATTCTTCAGTCCTCTTCGACGTCTCCATTATTCCTTGGCCAGCATTATGAATAGTAATAAAACTCATAATATACAGAAACCTTGCACACACATAATGTACATAAAATCTCATGGGAGGGCATGTATAAGTCTTGGTGGCTAAACTGGCTGGATCTTTCTGTATTGGTTGCTTTTGATTAATGAAGAATTCTAGTTTATATATATATATATATATATATATATTCACACACACGTTCTAATGTTTTGTATTTTGAAATTAACCTCAATCATGATGAAAGCAAGATCAGTTTAATTTTCCTTAGCAACTGCCGCATCAGCTGGATTTGTGATTGGGATTTTATCCATGATGTGTTGGAGATTATTAAAAAATAATTTAAATTTTATATTTAAATTTTATATAATAATTTAAGTTTTGGGGTTAAATTGATTTTTTGATATAGTATCGAAGCCTTTACAATCAAGCGATCACAAATTTAAATCTCATCAATATTTTTTATTTGATAAAAAATAAAATACAAAATATTATGAGTTTATATAAATTTTAAATTCAAAAAAAATTTACTTAAGAGATATGTTAAATAATAATATAAATTATATATTAAATATAATTAAATTAATTCTTTAACAAGCGATTACTTCAAAAGAAAAGAAGGAAACAATGAGAAGAAGGAAAAGCAATGCCGCATTTTTTTTTCTTTTTTTATGCCTATAGTCATGGCGTGTTTTGGTTAAGCCATAAACGCAACTCATCTAAACGAAGTCCCCCGCCATGAGAAGCCTTTGGCGGGTGTCATTTGATGTTGAAACCGGCTTCATTTATGTGAAATTCCTTTCACCAACTTTCATGTGTTGGTATTCAACATTAGTATTATCTGCTAGTAATAGGAAAAGTCGTGGAGAAAGATTGACAAATTAAGAAGTGAGCCATTTTCACTGTTAAATCATCCAATATAAAGTCTTTCTTATCGTGTAAGTTGAAATTGGTGTGATATTGTTGGTTTTTCTTAACTCTGTGACGCTATGGCATTGATAACTTCAGCCTGAATATTGATAGTTCCTTCATAGCCTTGCAGGGATATTAATTAAACTAGAAAAAAAAAAAACACTCGTCATGGTCACAGGTTGGATACTGTTGTGAATTTGAATTCTAAACACCTTATAAGCACTCATCCAGTGACGAAGCTATAATTTTAATAGAAGGTGACAATAGTCGCGAAGGGAGAAAGAATAATCCAGCACTATAGTTTTTTTAATGATAATATTCCATTAATATTTCCAGAGATATATAGTATTATTTAAAATAAATAAGTAGCAACAAAACAGCATTGTAGTCAACAGTATCATTAATAGAAAATATATATATCAAACATTCCCAAAACAATTTTTATAAATTATAAAAATCAATTTAAAGCTCCATTACACAATCGATAGGTTTCTAATTGACAATTAGCGATCTTTCTTAATTGCATAAAGTATAAATGAAAGTAAGAACGAAATATTCCAAAAATGATTGAATATATTAATTTACCAGTTATACACGTAATATAAATTGTGAATAATTAAAGAATTAATTTAATTGGATTGCAATGCTAAATATATTTTGTTATCAATCAAGGTAGATAGTAATGTTACTCGGTGTAAGTAATTCTAGCTCATTCTAAGACTTTAATTCCAGAGTTTAAGACGGTAAATTTCCATTATATAAAAAATGTGGCTTCGTCACTAGCTACAGCTA